GGGCAGCCTCGATGCCTGGGGAGGGGCGGCTGCGGGAGCCTCAGGGGAGGCTCTTTGGGTGGCCACGGTGCTGTGAGCACCAAAAAGCGCCTCAGTTTCCCCCCCCGCCCAGGAGACTCAGCCCCCCGTTAAGTTAACGCTGTCACCCAGCTTTCCTCCACCTGCCTCCTCACAGCCAAGGTGTGCGGAAGAGCCTGGTGTTGAGCACTGTCTTTTCTGTCTTTTCTGTCCTCTGGTCTTTGACGGGCTGGGGGACCTGTGTCTGCCAGATGGCTTTTGTGAGGGGATGTTATGGTAGCTGAGGTGTTGGCATAGAAGAGAGCTGTGAAAAGAGATTAAAGATGTGTTTCTTGGTGACACCTGGAGCTTGCACCCTCCAGCTCAGAGAATTACTGTGATTTCCAACTCACTGCTGTTTTTCACCAAAAATTTTGCATCTGTCCTTCTTGAAAGCCTCTCAGCATCCTCAGCTCTCCACTTTGAGGTCTACTGAAGTACAGTATATGGCAGTATGAAGTACATTCAGAAGCATGAAGTACAGCTTTATAACACTTTATAACCTTTCTTGCTTTGTGTAATTAGCAGCAATCATTATAGACTATCTGGTAAGCAAGAGTCTGCAGGAAGACAGTCATTCTACCAGCTTGCTGCCTTATTGCTTCCTTATCTCTCACTCAGAGCTTTTGGTGTGCTCTTCTGGTGCTCTCCATTACTGTTTAACACTGGTAGTGCTTCATTGGCTTCTTGATTTACACTTGCATAATCTGTGATGGCTTGCAAATGCTGCAGAGTGTGAAGCTATGTTGGCATACTGGAAATCTCTACTGTGGAAAAGATACGTAGTGAGATTTTACAGCACATGGTACAATTCCTTGGATATCAGCTGGGGTCAGATATGGGCAAATAGTCACAGCGTGGTGGGTGGAGAAAAATTGAAGCCTGAGAAAATTCTATTAGGGTCTACTTCGGACAGTTGAGGGAAAGATACTAGGTCTCCCTGGATGAGTTATAATGGTGAGGTAAGTTGGTTCCTTTGTCTGGCACGTTCCTATGCATTTTAAAGAATGCCTCCTTCCAGGAGTAATTCTCAAAATATGGATTAGTTTTTTAGAAATTAGTGTCCAAGTACCAAGACTGTGGTTCTCATCATCATTAAGTGAATCTCTAAGTGTACCACCTACAGCTCATCTATAGTCAAGAATGGCACTTTGTTATGGGAACTCTATAACAAATGTCGCTACAGAGCAGTGAAATGCAGTTAATGACTGTATGAGTAACTCTGCTCTCCCCACGTCACAGTTACAACTCATCATATTGACAGGAGCTGTATCAAGTGTTTACAGGGAAGATTTGGCAGGTCATAGTAAGTGTTGCACAAATACCTGGCTTGTTTCATATTCTTCTCAACTATCTAATCATTCACATGGAGGTTGAAATGGGAATCCTCTAATGGCTAAGCAAGCAGAACAAACACAGAAATAACGCTGTAAACTATAGCCACACAGGACCATGTTGCAAGCCTGCTGTATGGTCATAGATGAGACAGAAGTAACTCTTAGGAGAAGGAAATCCTGCAACCACAGTCTCAGGTCCAGTGGCTCTAGCATCCTGCTACCTCCTTTTCTGTCCCATTTTGGTGCCAACTTGTTCTCAGTGCCTGCTTGGCTGTGTTGGCCCTTTAGCTGCTTACCTATGTATTATTCCCTGTCAGAGCCCCGCGTGCGCTGAGGACCTTGTACAAGCAGTTGTGTTGCCTTTACATACTGCTAACACTTTGTAAAGGTGCAGTCAGAAAAGCAGAGGACCAAAGATTTGTCTTGCCCCTGGCTCCCCCCATCCTCACTCATCAGACGTCTTAGTTCAGCTTTCTAACCTTGTTTCTGAAGCCAAAATTCTGTAACCTTTCAGGCTTGGGTGCAGCAATCCAGGCTTTGGACTCTGAGGTACCTTTTTCATGTGCATAGCATCCTCCCTTTTATACCAAAAACTGCATAAAATAAGAAATGTTATTTTAGGCCACAAATACCATATTAGCAGTTTGAAAGATCAGGTAGTGTGTCCACACATGTGAAAATGCCTGACATCTCTTTTACCCAGAAACTTCAAATAAGATTTCAGGAAAAGCAGAGTTGCAAGCATTGCATATATCAGTTTACAGTACCATTGTGCTAAAAAGCTAGTAGAAAAGCAAAATAAAAAAAAGTTATCACTAGCAGTGATAATTATACATTTCCTGGTATTGTCTGAGAGTAAAACAGATTGGCAAAAGGCAATGATTTCCAGTGCTCATCAGTTTTGCAATACTTCCCAGTGAGTTGGAAGCCAAAGGACAGGAGAAGGAAACTGAACCATAGATGAGATAAGTCTTGCTCAGCTCTTTCTCTGAGAAAGGCTGAGGGAGCTGGGTTTCTATAGCTTAGACGAGACTGAGGTGAGACCTCGTTAATGTTTACCAATATGTAAAGGGCGAGTGTCAGGAGGACAGAGCCAGGATTTTCTCAGTGATGCCCAATGACATGACAAGGGGCAATGGGTGCAAACTGAACTGGAGCATAGGAGGTTCCATGTAAACATGAGGAAAACCTTTTTCATGGTGAGGGTGACAGAACAGTGGAACAGGCTGCCCAGCTTGATTCTGGAGTCTCCTTCTCTGGTGACATTCAAAACCTGCCTGGACACGTTCCTGTGTGATGTGCTCTTGGTGATCCTGCTCTGGCAGGGGGTTGGACTGGATGATCTTTTGAAATCCCTCACAACCCCTAACATCCTGTGATTCTGTGATCTGTTCCCAGGTTGCTCTTCTGCAGAAAGTAGGATCATTTCCATATTGGAGCCTCAGTAAGGAAGGGGAACTTTTCTGGGGTTAACTTGTTTTCCCTTTAAATATTTCTCCATTATAGACTTGGTTTAATTTGGTAATCATAGACTAAAATAAATAATGTTTTAATTAGCATCAATCCCTAGAGTCATATAAATAGGTATTTCTCTTTCCTAGCTTGTGTCCCATTTAAAATACAGTTTCAAGACCGTGTGGCCTGTGTTACATTATGTGATCCAATAGCAGAGACAACTATTTACTTACTGTGCCAAAATGTATCTCAAGGGAATCACAGAAGAGAAATTCTCAGTCTTTGGGCAAGACCAGCTCAGAAATGTTGCATTTCATAGTACATCCAAATGTTAAGAGGTACTAAAAACTTTTCTAGTGCTTATAATGTTGAAATAAACCTTGAACACATGGAAACACATGCTGTTTATACAGAGGGAGAGACAACTTTGAGAGCTGCGAAGAGCCTTGTAAATTTTCATAAGTCATTATGTGGCACACCTAATGATGGCAAATCCCATTGTTGTCACAATTTCATTCATAATCAAGTAATGTAAGAAAGAAGAAATAAATCCCTAATTGCTGCAGTTGAATGAAAAATGAATATGCTGTTCTAGCCCTACAACTAGCCTGTGTGTAAAGCTTAAAATATATCCTTCTTCTCAGTTAAGGCTCTTATGGATTTTAGCAGAGTTTATAGGAATAGAACTTCCCACTGTGGGGAGATGGAGCCTGAAGAACTCACTGGCTGTTGTCATGTCCTCATGCCTGGGAGCAAGGATTAAGGAGCCAGTGCTGATGGAGTGCTCAGTGTCAGGATCTGCAGTGTACACTGTACAGTGCTCCCTTATTTTAGTAACTCTCATGGGTACAGCTTGGATTAATATCATGAGTCTTTTCACTCTTCAGCTTAATGCATGCCTTAAAGCTACAGGAGACACTACATCTGCATATCTGCTGCCTTACACTTTGAGTGTAGATGCTTTCACTGGTGCAAAGTAATTGAAATGTCCTCACGTCTGAACTAGTTGCATTCTACAGTCACTTCAGCAGGTGTAGGCCACCAGAGTACTGCGTCTTCTTTTGCTGAACAGATGATGAGATTTTAACTCCCGAAGTAGAGTCCAGATTCATGTTTCATTTCAATAGTAAGTAAGACACTTCCAACAAAATGATTCCAGTATTTTTTGTCTTACAGATACTAGCATCTTCTTAATATATAATGAAGATCACAAGCGCTGTGTACTTGCTCGAAGTTCAAATTCAGTGACTACTGCTCCTTGCGTTCAAGAAAATGAGTCACAAAAATTCAGGTGGGTCTCAGATCACCAGCTTATGAGCATAGCATTCAAATTGTGCTTGGGAGTGCCTTCGAAGAAAGACTGGGTTCCCATCACTCTGTATCCCTGTGACAAGGCTAGTGAACTGCAGCGATGGGAATGCAGAAATGAGACCCTCTTTGCAATCCAAGGGAAAGATTTGTTTTTCAACTATGGAAACAATCAGGAAAGGAATATTATGCTGTACAAGGGATCTGGTATATGGAGTAGGTGGAAAGTCTACGGAACTACAGACGATTTGTGTTCTCGAGGCTATGAAGGTAAAGTTCTGTAAATTAATTTCTGTATTTCAAACTCATTTCTAAGTGTATCTAATGAAAATATTTCGAAGTACAGGATAATTCCTTCATCTTGTTAATGATCAGTGAGTGTGACTTCTGGTGAAATCAGCAATACTTGAATTGTACAACTTGTCAGTGTTCTGATAAATAATTAACCATGCATGGTAGTTCATTTGGAGAAGGGGAAAAAAGTTCATGATTATTCAGAACACATGTGTAACTATTACATAACAGTCAGTGATAACTTACTATTTACATATTGAAGATGCCTTCCTAGGTGCCTGAAGTGAGTCTCAGAGTTGGTGTTAGACAAATAAATGAAATAATTCAAACAGCTAAATTTGAAAAAGTTAAGTATGATATATATGTATATCTATATATATATATCTATATATCTTTAAGATAAGAATCTGGGAATACATCTGGCCTCCCATTTAGTATTTTGATTAACAGAAATGGAGAGAGGGAGGTAAGGATGCATTTTTTAAGGCTTACACAAAGGCTGATTAGAGCCAGAAAAAAAGAACCATAGCAAATTACATGAAAGGAAGCAGGGAAGAAAATGGAGTCATGGCCTGCAATTCCTTCCTCCTTTGTGTTCTAGCAGCTCTGTGAGACAGTGACCTTGGTATGTCATCTCTCTAGCAGTCCCTGTCATGACATGTTCCTCTGTATGTCCTCTCATCAATGTATGCACACTTTTCTGCACAGAAAACCACTTCAGTTACTTTGATAAGTTTAATTGACTTAGATTTCTGATGAAAAAAAAAAAATCTTTAGATGCCAATGGGAATTTTATTTGGATATAGTATTCTGGAGACACTCTTTGGTATTTATCTTTCGAGTTTATAAGTACTTGGCCTTCCATGTCTAAAATTATCAGTTGCTGAGTGGGTTATTGACAGAAAAATCAGACGTTCTTTGTGCTTGAAAAGAACATTTCTTAACTGTGTCGGTTTTATACTTTTGATTTTATGCATGTAAAATGTATAATGGGAATGTATTTGTGTTGGCTCAATCAGTGCTGGTCAGGAGTCTCCTTAAGAAATAAAAATTTGTTTCATTTTGAACACGGGTACCAACTTAGATTTAGAGAGTAAAATTATTATGTCCCATTTCTAGTACAGTTTGTATACTAAGTTATCAAGCTCTGATTTCTACAATACGCTAGCATATAATAATAAAGTGAACTGATATAAATATATATATATATACATGTATCTCCCAAGCTTCTTACTGCTTAAATGATTTCAAATTGTTGTGTCTCCTTAGATACCTACACAGTGAAAGGAAATGCCAATGGTGCACCTTGTGTATTCCCTTTTAAGTTTGGTGGTAAATGGTATGCTGACTGCACAGATGCTGGCAGATCAGATGGCTGGTTCTGGTGTGGAACCACTTCAAACTTTGATGTTGACAATATGTATGGATTTTGCCCATTGAAATGTAAGTTTTGTATCCTCAAGATTCTGCTCTGCTGTTGTCCAGCTGCATGGAAATATCTGTGTCCTTATCGTGTGCTTTACTGTATAAAACAGAGTTTGAAATGATGAATTTCTCTTTCTCCATGCAGCCTGCTATCCTTTTGGGAACTACTTCAATGTGCAAACATAGAGCTTAGCATAAAAAAAATTGACCAACTATATCCAGGTGAAAGTGTGCTGATCATACATCAGAATCTCTAATTAAACCATTTACTTAAATAGGAAATTAATTCTATCTTAAAATTTTGTGTTAGTATATGCAAAAAGGTGTCTAGAATTTTAAACAGCAGAATTGGAAGCTGGAATATAGCTTAACTGAAAATTAAGACTACTTTGTAGAATGAGTTGCCTTTTAAAGATGAAGGAGCTTACACGAACCTTTTACTAAATTCCAGTATTTCCCAAATCTGTGTGCTACATTGCAGCTCTGTATTTACAATCAATGAGAACTATTTATATTTTAAATTCCTTGGTTTGAATATAGTTTCAGTTTCAACTGTAGTATCGTGAACATACAGACCTTTACTTAGGAAAGTTGATACTACTTAAAGTAAATTAGAGCAATATGCCTGTATGTATTAGAATTCTTCTAAAGTTGAACAATTTTTCTCTGAACTTCTGTAAAATATGTCATAAGCATTTTGTCTGCAAGCTGCTGCTTCTTTTGTCACCTGAAAAGAAATAGCACTTCTGCCTCCCTTCTTCTTTATTATTTTTTGCTGCAAAGCTCCAGCTGTCAGAGCGAAGGAGAAAAACATGCCTTTCCTTCCAAGTGAAGAAAGTGCTGTGGGTTGATCTTAACTGGTTTGATCATGAAGTATTTGTGGCCCTGCCTGATTTCCTGATGTCCATTAATATTGCATTCATTATTTCAGAGAAATAAAATTGACTTTTTTTTTTTCTCTCTCTCTTTTTTTTTTTCTTTTGCTAGAGTTATTTTCAAGAGATTAAAAACATGTTAGGAATATCAATCCTGAAGATACTGCACACACAATATCAACTTCAGAATTCTACTTATCTGGTGCTCTTTGAGTATAACAAATAGGAGGCATCATTAACATTTTGTTTAATTCTTTGGCATAATTCAAGGAAATCCATTCAGATGACTGTGATTGTTTTTGGAAAAAGCTGCTTTATGCTGATTGCCTGCATGTTTCCTTCCTGATTCTTCAGTATTGACTATAAAATATTCTAGCTTGGGTCATACACTTTAATGTGAGATGGGCTGTGGTAGCAGAAGTTTTAGTCAGCCCTATGAAAGAGGAGTGCACTGCCTCTGTATGTTTAATTTTTTTAAATAAGATTTATGGATTGTTTAAACTCTCTAAGGGAGAAAAACTGCTGATATAAAAATGTGATGCAGGCTATTACAGCTCTTCATACTGGGGCCTGGACATACTGAAAAATTATGATTGAACCATATTATGATTTTTTAATTGTGAGTAAAACCGAAATGATAAGGGCATAAGACTATAATTAAAACAGTTATTATAATCCATAGAGATGTAGTGATTTGACCAGTGGAGGTAATATAATTGTGAATATAACTCTTTATTTGGTGCTTGAAAAAGAAACCCTGATGCTGTGAAAATAGAATCTTAAATCTCACAGAAAGAAACTGAGAGGTGTTGCTATATCAGAAATTTTTTAGTAGCCTAGGAAATACTGGCTCTTAATGGGTTCCACTGTGTTTTTTTTTAGCTCTGTGTCGCACTGCAATGCAAAAGTAGATGTTGGGGAAGAAAACAGCTTGCACAGCGTTATCATTGGGCAAATTGACACCCTTGTGTTCATTCGCAAACACCAAATTTATTTTTTATTTCAGGCTTTTTTTCCCATGCTGGTGTTTCAAGATGTCTTGCGAGGTTTTTTCATTGTGATTTTGAGTCTGGTTGAAAATGCCTGGTGAATTGGTCAAATAAGTTGTACAGGGGGATTTGTGTTGATTTTTCTGATTTATCTGGAACTCATAATCTGAGTTTGGACCTCACAGATTTATGTAGGACTAAAGGAAAAAAAAAGGAGGAGCACTTTGGAAAAAGATTTCAAAGTGAAGATAAGCATGTGAAGGAAATTTGTAATACTTTATACTTTTTTGCTATTGACAGCATTGCATTTTTATATACTATATTATAAATTCATATAAACTATAATGTATTTATTATATTAATTCTCTACTGCATGCTTGGAGAAGAATTGATGACAATTATTTTATAGGCTGTCTAACAGGATTTATATTCAGTTTTTGTTTGATATGATTCTACTAATGCAGTTTCCAATGATATTGAACTGAGATTACAACTTGTTCTGAATGGATAACTGAAAAACAATAACATATTTATTTTACTGCATCATTTTTATTTTTACAGAAGAGCACCATATGTAAGTCAGTTATAAATTATGAGACTGAGGGACCATGATGGAAGGTTGGATGAAAGCCTGAGACTTGTTTACCTCTTGCTCTGTAGTAATTGTACAAAACCTGTAAAACCCTTTGTCTCAAGTCTGACCCAAGTTTCTTTGTTGAATTATGGATTTTAATATTTTTGCAATCTCTATTTTATCCCAGGCCTATACACAGGAATTTATGGTCTTGTAGAACATAGTGTCGTGATCGTCATAAAATATTTTGGATAGATGTTGGTTTGTGGATAATGACAATCAGATAAAAGTTCCTATTTTTAGTCAAATGTCCATATTACAGTAGGTTAGTCTTGATTTTTTTTATTAAGGGAAATCTGAGAAGAAGTACTTTGTATTTTCTATAGACTATTAGATATAATACAGGAAAAACTGGAACTGGTTAGTGACCTGCTGACTTTAATAGGTATCATACTTTGTCCTGAGTTTTGTTTATTGTACTGTTTTCCTCTTATTTGCACACTTAGAATTTCTGAAGTTGCAAGCTGTGAAAATTTTGAGAGAAAGAATTATTTTCCTTTTCTGAATTCAGAAAACCTGATACAGGCTACAGGAATTTCAGTCATTTTCCCACTATCAGCAGACGTATAGTCACCTCTGCTATACTCTGGTTTTGTCATGCAATTAATCTCTTTATGGAGTGATATTTAGCTCAGTGTTTGGGCCTTCTGTAGGTTCCTTTTTTGACAGCGCAAGATTACGCTGTTGTCTGTTGCTAGTGGTGGGGATTCAATTGAGAGAAGCCAGGAGAGGCTGCAGTAGTATAAGGAGTGTGGAACCTTCTGGGGCCACTTCTACTGTTGGTGGGCCCTGCTGGATGACTTTTTCACTCTGTTGGCATTGTCTAAAAGTGCCAAGTTCAGGTATTCAAGGATATCACAAGGTCATGTGGCAGAGAAGGAGGTGTGGTGGTATGTCAGATACATGAATAAGATAAATCAGGAATTGCATGAAAGGGTGAGACAGATGCTGATAATGTATGTCTTGTGTTCAGTGCTTGGGTCTGGTTACCTCTATCAGAGTAATAAAATCCATAGGCACTTTACAGAGTACCCATAATTTGTAAAAACATAGCGTTTCTTATCTCAAAAAAGTGTTCAGCTTGATGTACACCTTTGCTAGCAAGTGACTAGAAGTTTTTAATCTTTTTCTTCACAGTGAGAAATCAACTCTTTTAGCATTGCTTTAGCCACTCATCATCTGTCTTAAACAGTGGCTTTGTTATACTGGAGAAAATGGTGACATATCTATTGTTTCATAACCTGTGTCCTGTTCCACAGGGTTTATCTCTGCCCTGGGTTTATTAACACATCAGAGAGTTTTGAGATTCCTTTCAAACAAATTCTTTACTGCAGTGATTAGGTTTGTGTATTTTTGCTAAGTGATTTATTCTATATTTTTTCTGGCTCTGTCTTTATGATAGGTTATAGCATTTCTTTTTCTCCCTACAGTTAATAGCCTTGATGTATTGTGGAATTCCGATCCTTTAACAAATGTCCAGTACCAGATAAACTCTGAGGCAGCTCTGGAATGGCATCAGGCAAGAAAAAGCTGTCAACAACAGAATGCAGAGTTATTAAGCATCACAGAGTTGCATGAACAAACATACCTGACTGGTAGGGTAATATTACTAATCAGTTTCTTTTAAAAAGTGCATTAATATAGCAGTGACACTTATATAGGATATTCTGCCTTGAAAATGTTTATTTGTTCAGTTCTGGTAATTAGTGGATTTAAATTTTTGTCTTGAATGATTTAACTGGGAAAACTGGCACTACTCCAGGTGGGGTCTCGTGAGAGTGGACCGGGGCTGAGAATCACCTCCCTTTCCTGTTGGCCATGCTTCTTTTAATCCAGCTCAGGATACAGTTGGCTTTCTGGGCTGTGACTGCATATTGCCAGCTCATGCCCAATTTTTCACCCACCAGTACCCCAAGTCTTACTCCACAGGGCTGCTCCCAATCCATTCATTCCCCAGCAGGTATTGAAACCAGGGGGTTGCCCTGACCAAGGTGCAGGATCTTGCACTTGGCCTTGTTGGACTTCATGAGGTTCACATGGACCTACTTTTCTAGCTCACCCAGGTCCCTCTGGATGGCATCCTCATCCTACCAGCGTGTCAACCGCACCATTCTTCTTGGTGTCATCTGCAAACTTGCTGAGAGTGCACTCAATCCTATTTATCTATGTCTGTGATGAAGATATTAAATAGTATTGGTCCCAATACAGACCCTAGAGGAACACCACTTGTTACTGGTTTCTATTTGGATATTGAGCCATTGACAGTAACTCTTTGGATGCAGCCACGCAACCAATTTCTTATTCATCTGTTAGTCTATCCATCATATCTGTATTTCTCCAATTTAGCGGATTGATAAATGTATTTGTAATACTATGAACAGCCTGTTCTGTCTAAACATTTGTTTTCGATTTAAGGGTTTGGTCAAAACATGGGTTTTTTTTTACTGACTGTGATGACACTCTTTTTGAAATTAATGCTCAAGGGAACAATCTGGCACTGACATACAGAAGTGAGTTATTAGTTGTGTGTTTCAATTGCAAACTAGTATTCCTGGCAAATGTATGTGAAAATCAGCTTTTCATTCTACTGCTCTCCTGGCTGAACCAGGATTTCCTGTCATGCTCAGTTCTTAGTTGTCTTAATAACAACTTGTTTGTATAGAAGTAGTGCCAAAACACATTAATATGTTGGTGCCATCAACATTAACTATCCCTCCTTTCAACCTTGCCATTCTTCAAGTGTTACACATAATCTTGGTGTCGAAGACAACTAAAACATAGTGTAAGATTACCTACTGGCATGATGTTATTGGTACAAGCAGAAATAATATACATTGCACAGTGATCGGTGAGCTATGCAGAAATACATGTAATGAAAAAATATACCCAGTCAACCAGGTAGGCTTCCAATTCTTATATGAAAGGCAGAGATAGACACTAGATTAACAATGACTGTAAATAATGCTAGAGAGTTCAG